AAAATCAGGATCTTTAGAATTCATGCCATTAATAGGAAACAGGTGATTCTCTTAGTCAATGCAGGAGGGGGGAACTGACAAAATTTAATACCTATTCATGATTTAAAACTCTCACCAAGTTAGATATTAACACAAACTTTCTTACCCCGATAAATCTGGAAAAATCCTTTGGCTAACTCGGCCTTAACACTGAGACTGAACCCTTGCCTGCAACTCTGGGAAGAGGGCAGGGGTATAACATAGCCCTTCTCATGCAGTTCAACAGAGTTAGGAGTTTTAGGGAACTTGGAGGAAGAAACGTGAGCTTTTCAAGGGCCCTGGGAACTTCCTCCTTGGTCTGCTATTGCTAGAAAGAAACACCCTAGGCGGCGCCTGTGGCTCAAAGGAGTAGGGTGCCGGCCCCATATGCTGGAGGTGGCAGGTTCAAACCCAGTCCCTGCCAAAAACTGCAAAAAGACAAAAAAAAAAAAAAAAGGATAAAAAGAAACATCCTTCCTGCCTGTGGTGAGAGATACCTGGGGGACCTTAGAAGTGCTGGAAGCCCCCAGTCCCTCTTGGACTTGGATATAGTCGCTTGGCTGAGTTCTAGTTCACAATCACAGAGTGACTTCTGGTCCTTCCAGTTCTGGCTCCAGACCCACCAGGTAGCATCATTTAAGCTCCGTGGAGAGCCCAGGGCCACACCGAAGGAGTTATGAGGCGGCAGAGAAGATGAATCTGTGATGAGCTGGATTGTGACCCCCCCTCGACCAGTTTGTGTGTTGAAGTCCTAAGGGTCCCCCTATCCCACTCTCTCCTGAGCTTATCTGGAAGCAGGTGCATTGCAGGGCTAATGAGTTCCCCTGGATTACGAATGGTGCAGAAGGGGACCCCGATGTAACACGCCTGGTGTCTGTAAAAAAGGGAGATTGGGACACAGACTCCGACACCCAGAGAACACGAGAAGACTGGAGTGATGGTGCCACAAGCCAGGGAGATATCAGAGGTGGGAGAGAGAGGCCTGGGACTGGCCCTTCTCTGGACCCAGTGCTGGCCACACCTGGACGCAGTCCCACCTTGAGACCACAAGACTATCAATCTCTGCTTTTTACCTTGCCTAATTTATGGTTCTTCGCTGCAGCAGTTGTTTTGAATTCACTTGTCCGTGCCCATCCCAAATTATTAATCATTGTGATTGAATATCTTGTCAGGCCAAAGAGATGCTAATTTGCCTTCCATCATTACTCTGTGTCACACTGAGAAAGAGAGAAAGAAAATAGGATGCGATTGTTGCCTCTGAATGTATGTGGTCTTTCAGGTTTTAAAAATTTTCTCCTCGGGCGGCGCCTGTGGCTCAAAGGAGTAGGGTGCCGGCCCCATATGCCAGAGGTGGCGGGTTCAAACCCAGCCCTGGCCAAAAACTGCAAAAAACAGAACAAAACAAATTTCTCCTTTGGGGTGGTGCCTGTGGCTCAGTGGGTAGGGCGCTGGCCCCATAT